GGGATTTTGGGATATCCCTGCGGTGCCCGCGGGGTCTGGGTTTGGATTCGGAGGATTCTGTTGGAATTGTGGAATCCTGGAATGGGAAGGATCCTAAGGCTGATCCAATTCCACCCCATTCCAAGGGCAGGGACACCTCCCGCTATCCCAGGTTGCTCCAACCTGGCCTTGGAATTTGGGAAGCTCAGGAATTAGGGATGTGCCGGAGGCAGATCCAGAGTGGGATCCAAAGGCATCAGGAGGTCAAAAATAGTGTGGATTTTCAAATCCATAGCCTTGGAAATATTCCCAAAATTCCCTGGAGCAGCTCTGCCCAACTCCTTGTCCAAACTTCCCGAGGATTCCTGGAGCTTGCTCCGTGATTCCCAACCTTTTTCGTGAAGAATATCCCTAGGAAAGAGCATTTTGCTCCATTATTCCCAGGTTTTTCCAGGGATAGAGGGGTCGTGGAATTCATTCCATGGAGTTAGGGCAGGAGAAATTCCCAGGTTTGCAATCGGAACAGTTCAAGTTGGAAAAAAAACTCTCGGAAGTTTTAATTCCCAACAAAAACTCCTTCACTCCGTGGCAAGGGATATCCATAACAACCGGAGTCTCCCCACATTTTCCTGGAAAAATCCCGGAGAAAAAAGGATTCTGGGGCAGCTTTTCCAGGGAATATCAGGAATATTTAGTGTTGTCCCAGTTTTTTATTCCAAGGGAGGTTTTCCAGCCCCTTTCCCAGCTCCCTCCCTTCCCTTTTCCTGCTCCGGCGCTGCTCCCGGAATTCCAGGGGATCCCGCAGCCGTTCCCAGGAGCAGCAGGGCTGGGCCAGCAGAACTTTTCCATGTGTTTTTCCCAGGTTTTATTGGGATCCCTCCTCCCTCCCTCCCTCCCTCCCACCCATTCCCCGCGTGCCGGAGCCTCCGGAGCCTCCGGAGCCTCCGCGCTTTTCCCAATCCCACTCCCACACCACGAGTTTCCCCATCCAACTCCTCGTGCCGGGATCATCCCTCCGGATAGTTCGTTCCTTACATTCATCCCAGCCTCATTCCCGGTTTTTGGAGCCCTCTGGATTTGGGAAGGATCTTGGATCCATCCTGGTTTTCCTTCCCAGCTCCCAGCGCATCCCAGACATTCCCATCTTGGGAAGGGACGCTTTGGAGCAGGGAATCATCCCCTGGATCTGGGAAGAGCCGGGATTTTTGGGATCAGCTCCTTTTCCCACCAATCCATGGCAATTCCCTCTGATCCCACATTTCTTCCATCCAGGCTTCGTTTGCTCCGGGTTTTTTTTTTTTTTTCCAAGGGAATTCAGTGTATGAATTCCTCCAGTTTTCCTCATTCCCATTTTTTTCCCCTCTCCTGGACACGCAGCTGGAGTTTCCAATGTAATTCTTGGAATTCTTTAATCCCTCCTCAACATTCCCGATGTGTCCGGCCGGGCTCATCTCAAATTCCTCCTTCATTCCTGCTGCTCCTTTCCAGGTGGGATTTTCCCAAAATGTCCCCGTTTATCCCAGATTTCAGCGCCTTGGAATTTCCACATCCACAGGGAAGTTTTCCCTCTCTGCCCTCAGCCAAAGGAACACCAGGAATTCCCAGCAATTCCTGGGATTTTTTTTAGGGAATGAAATGAATGGTGGGAATTCCCTCCGTGGGCATTTCCCGGTGGGATGCAGAGGTTTGGATTTGCCCAGGAACAATTCCAGGTTTCCAGGAGATGTTTGGAGTCAAATCCCACCCCTGGAAGTGCCCAGGGCTGGGTGGGATGGGGTTTGGAGCAACCTGGGAAAGGGAAAGATGTCCCTGTCCATGGAGAACAATCCCGGGAATGTTGGGAAGAGGTCCTGGAAACTTTAGGGAATGAATCTTGGAAATGTTGGGACAATCATCCTGGAAATGTTGGGAGACTCATCATGGAAATGTTGGGAGAATCATCCTGGAAATGTCAGGGAAACCATCCTGGAGTCTTTGGGGAAAAGATGCTGGGAATGTTGGAGGAAATATCCTGGAAAATTTAGGGAAAGGATGCTGGAAATGTTGGGATAACAGTCCTGGAAATGTTGGGAGAATCATCCTGGAAATGTTGGGGAAATCATCTGGAAACTCTGGGAGAACCATCCTAGGAATACTGGGAGAACAATCCTGGGAATGTTGGGAGAAGGATCCTGGAAACGCTGGGCAAAAAATCCTGGGAATGTTGGGCAGAGGATCCCAGAAATGCTGGGAGAACGATCCTGGGAATTATGGGGAATCCCTGGGGCTGAAGTGGGATCCGTGGCCACCGGCAGATCCCGCCAGCCTGGGAAAGAGGGGCCGGAAATCCTGGAAAACAGCATCAGAAATCCTGGAAAACATGGTTGGAAATCCCAGAAAACAGGCATTGGAAATCCTGGAAAGCAGGGTCAAAAATCCTGGAAAAGAGGCATCAGAAATCTTGGAAAACCGGGTTGGAAATCCTGGAACCGTGTCCAAGTGCAGGGATGGAGAATCCCAGGAATTCTCCTAAGAGCAGGAATTTTCCCTAATTCGGTGGGAATTCTTCCTAATTCTGTGGGAAAATTCAGGAATTTTCCCTAATTCAGTGGGAATTCGGTAATTCTTCCCTAATTCTGTGTGAAAATTTAAGAATTTCTCCAATCCTGTGGGAATTCAGGTATTTTCCCTGATTCTGTGGGAATTCAGGAATGTTTCCGGAATTCTGTGTGAAAACTCAGGGATTTTTCCCAATATCCAACTTAAAATTCCTCTGGCACAGCTCGAGGCTGTTCCCTGGGATTTCCTGGGAGCAGATCCCAAATCCCGGCCGGCTCCTGCCTCTGCCATGGAATTCCGGAGGGAGAAGATCCCTCCTGATCCTTTTTCCAGGATGAGCCTCCTTCCAGATGCTCTTCCCGGGATTTGGGCTCCTTTCCCTGGGAAAGAGTGATCAGGAATCCTGGGAAACAGAGCCGGAATTCTGGGAATTCTGGGAATTCCCAAGGGAAGCGTTTTTTTTTTAAACCAATCCCGGAATCCTCCCCCTGGAATTCACTTCTGATCATTCCCATGGAAATGAAAACCTCCTGGATTTTTGGGATCTTCGGATGCGTTGGAAGCGATTTTTGGGAATATTGTGGTGCGTTCATTCCCCCGGAACGGGAATTCTCTGGGGGTTTATTCCAAGTTTTTTCCCAAGGAAGCTTTTCCAGCCTGGAATGGGACAATTCCCGATGGAAGCACCACCAGGTGCCCAAACCCAGCTGGACTCTTCCATGGGCTGGAATTCCCTGGAAGCAGACATGGGATCCCATCAATCCCACCTGGAATTCCA